GAAGCTGAAACTATGAATAGACCAATAACAAGGTCTGAAGTCGAGGCAGCAATTAAGAGCCTACCACACAAAAAAAGGCCATGTCCAGATGGGTTCACAGCTGAATTCTACCAGACACACAAAGAGGAGCTGGTACCATTCCTTCTGAAACTATTCCAAATAATCCAAAAAGAGGGAATCCTTCCCAAATCATTTTATGAGACCAACATCATCCTGTTACCAAAACCCGGCAGAGACCCACCAAGAAAAGAAAACTTCAGGCCAATATCCATGATGAACATAGATGCAAAAATCTTCAATAAAATACTGGCAAGCCGATTGCAACAGCACATCAGAAAACTTATCCATCATGATCAAGTAGGATTCATCCCGGGGATGCAAGGCTGGTTCAACATTAGCAAGTCTTTCACCACATAAACAGAACCAAAGACAAAAACCACATGATTATCTCAATTGACGCAGAGAAGGCATTTGACAAAATTCAACAGCCCTTTATGCTAAAAACCCTCAATAAACTCGGTATCGGTGGAACGTATCTCAAAGTAATAAAAGCTATTTACGACAAACCAACAGCCAATATCATACTGAATGGGCAAAAACTGGAAGCATTCCCTTTGAAATCTGGCACTAGACAAGGATGCCCTCTCTCACCACTCCTATTCAATATAGTACTGGAAGTTCTAGCCAGAGCAATCAGGCAAGAAAAAGAAATAAAGGGTATTCAAATAGGAAAGGTGGAAGCCAAATTGTCACTATTTGCAGACGATATGATAGTATACCTAGAAGACCCCATTGCCTCAGCCCAAAAACTCCTGAAACTGATAAGCAACTTCAGCAAAGTCTCAGGATATAAAATCAATGTGCAAAAATCACAAGCATTCCTATACACCCATAACAGGCTTAAAGAGAGCCAAATCAAGAACAAACTGCCATTCACAATTGCTACAAAAAGAATAAAAGTACCTAGGAATACAACTCACAAGGAACGTAAGGGACCTCTTCAAGGAAAACTACAAACCACTGCTCAATGAAATCAGAGAGGACACAAACAGATGGAGAAACATTCCATGTTCATGGTTAGGAAGAATTAATATCATGAAAATGGCTATACTGCCCAAAGTAATTTACAGAATCAATGCTATCCCCATCAAGCTACCATTGACTTTCTTCACAGAACTGGAAAAAACCACCATGAACTTCATATGGAACCAAAAGAGAGCCCAGATAGCCAAGCCAATTCTAAGCAAAAAGAACACAGTGGGGGGCATCACACTACCGGATTTCAAACTATACTACAAGGCTACAGTAATCAAAACAGCATGGTACTGGTACCAAAACAGAGATATAGACCAATGGAACAAAACAGAGGCATCGGAGGCAACACAACATATCTACAACCATACAATCTTTGATAATCCTGACAAAAACAAGCAATGGGGAAAGGATTCCTGTTTAATAAATGGTGTTGGGAAAACTGGCTAGCCATGTGCAGAAAGCAGAAACTGGACCCCTTCCTGACACCTTACATTAAAATTAACTCCAGATGGATCAAAGACTTAAGCATAAGACCTGGCACCGTAAAAACCCTAGAAGAAAATCTAGGCAAAACCATTCAGGACATAGGAGTAGGCAAGGACTTCATGACCAAAACACCAAAAGCATTGGCAGCAAAAGCCAAAATAGACAAATGGGACCTAATCAAACTCCACAGCTTCTGCACGGCAAAAAAAAACAGTCACTAGAGTGAATAGGCAACCAACAGAATGGGAAAAAATTTTTGCAGTCTACCCATCTGACAAAGGGCTGATATCCAGAATTTACAAAGAACTCAAACAGATTTACAGAAAAAAAACAAACAAGCCCATTCAAAAATGGGCAAAGGATATGAACAGACACTTTATAAAAGAAGACATACATGAGGCCAACAAACAGATGAAAAAATGCTCATCATCACTGGTCATTAGAGAGATGCAAATCAAAACCACACTGAAATAGCATCTCACCCCAGTTAGAATGATGATCATTAAAAAAATCTGGAGACAAGAGATGCTGGAGAGGATGTGGAGAAATAGGAACACTTTTACACTGTTGGTGGGAGTGTAAACTAGTTCAAAGTTCAACCATTGTGGAAGACAGTGTGGCAATTCCTCAAGGCCTTAGAAATAGAAATTCCAATTGACCCAGCAATCCCATTACTAGGTATATATCCAAAGGACTATAAATCGTTCTACTATAAGGACACATGCACACGAATGTTCATTGCAGCACTGTTTCCAATAGCAAAGTCCTGGAACCAACCCAAATGCCCATCAATGATAGACTGGATTGGGAAAATGTGGCACATATACACCATGGAATATTATGCAGCAATCAAAAATGATGAATTCGTGTCGTTTGTAGGGACATGGATGAATGTGCAGAACATCATTCTCAGCAAACTGACACAAGAACAGAAAATGAAATACCGCATATTCTCACTCATAGGTGGGTGACGAAAAATGAGAACACATGGACACAGGGAAGGGAGTACCAAACACTGGGGTCTACTAGGGGGAAGAGGAGAGGGACAGTGGGAGGGGAGCTGGGGAGGGATAGCCTGGGGAGAAATGCCAAATGTGGGTGAAGGGGAGGAAGGCAGCAAAAGACACTGCCATGTATGTACTTATGCAAATGTTTTGCATGTTCTGCACATGTACCCCAAAACCTAAATGCAATAAAAAAAAAAGAAAACCATTTCTGAAATAAAATTCTATATTCTGCTAAACTATTACTCATGAGTGACCTTATTGTAAAGACATTTTCAGACATAAAAGATCTCAAAAAGCTAATTACCCAAGTCCTTTTCTCAAAAAGATACTGGTGGAAGTGCTCAGCAGAAACAAAGGAATAAACGAAAAAGAGGAAAATATAAACACTATGAAGCAGTGGAGCCAACCTCAGAGACAAAGTGAATTCCCAGAACAAAGGTGAAAGAAGTTACCAGGATAACATCTGTGCACCAAATTTAACAGACAAGACAAGGTCAGAAGACTCTGTGGAGATTATTCATGTGAGTAACTCTGCTGAAATATCTGATTGCATCTGAACCAATCAGATATTGTAAAGAGTTTGAGATTCAATTATTAATAAATATGTAGAACAACTAAATAAACTAAACAACAGAATGGCACATCATTTTGGGAAAAAGTATAAGGATATATAATGAAACTTTACAACAGGGCGCAGTTGTGAATATGTTTATGACATAAGGTAAATTACAATCTAATTGAAATTATGATGCAACTCTACTAGGAGAATAGAGAAGATAAGAAGGGTTAGTGTAAAGGTGGGGTGATAAAAGGGAGCTGTATTATCCTTTTCCAAAGGGAGAACAATGAAACTGGAAGTAGCAACTCAAGTATTTTGTTTAGAGAAATAACTAAAAAAACAGATAAAACAAAATACTTGAGTTGCTACTTCCAGTTTCATTGTTCTCCCTTTGGAAAAGGATAATACAGGAGAAAAAAAAGCAAAAAATTATATCTAGTTCTACAACTTAGATCTACAAAATTATGAATGCTGCTTGGATATCTTAATAAAAATGAATGCTCAGAAAAATTTCTCTAAGATTTGCACAAACCATTCTCTTGTCTATAGGTTTCTCTGTTTCAAACCCATTTCCAGAGGCAGCTTTTTGTTTGAGGGATAAATGATCTGGTGGGTGGTATTTTAGTTGAAAGAGTCTAAACAATTACTTAAGAAGCAGAAAATACGTTTCGTTAAAAAGATATCATTCTGGCTTTTTCCTTACAGTCTGTGTTTGGCACAATCACTGGTGTCTACACAAAAGCCACAGTGTCCTGTCTTTGCTAACAGAACCCTAGGTTTTGAGTTTAGGTAGTAGGTGGAGATCTGTAGTGATGGAGTTCAGGATATTCTACCCCCACATATGGCAACGCAGCATTTGAGAAAACAGCTCCTTGGCCAGGTGTGATGGCTCATGCCTGTAATCCTAGCACTTTGGGAGGCCAAGGTGAGCGGATTGCTTGAACTCTTGAGTTCGAGACTGGCCTGGACAACATGGTGAAACCCAGTCTCTACAAAAATACAAAAATTAGCCAGGCATGGTGGTGGATGCCTGGAGTCCCATCTCCTCGGGAGGCTGAGGTAGGAGAATCACTTGAGCACAGGAGGCAGAGGTTACAGCGAGCTGAGATTGCACCACTGTAGTCTAACCTGGGCAACAGAGCCAGACCTTGTCTCGGGGAGAGGGGAGAGAGGGGAGAGAGGGGGGAGAGGGGAGGAGAGGGGGGAGAGGGGGGAGAGGGAGGAGAGGGGAGAGAAAAGAAAAGAAATAGACAGGTAATAAACCTAGGAAGGTCACTCTCTGACCTTCTCTCACCCTTCTTCTCTGAAGTAGGCCATAAAAGAATCCTCTGGCCTGTCTCTCTAGTAGGCCGAAAGATCCCATTTGAGAGGTACCCTATGCCTGGAGGAAGGATATACTTATCTCTGAAGACACAGGGATATAGTGACCAATCTGAACAAAGAAGCCTTGCTAAGTTTCACCCAATCTTTTACCATTAGATCATAGCCCCTTTGGCCAATCATACTTTCCACTTCCTCTTTAAATCTAGCATAAAAATATACAAATGTGCCTGTTTTTTTGTGGGGGAGGTCTTCATTCCCGAAAGCTCCTGTGTCGTATAAAACATTTTAAATAAATTTGTATGCCTTTCTCTTGTTAATATGTCTCCTGTTATAGGGGTTCTAGCCATGAACCCTAGTGATGGGAGAAGAAAAGATATCCTTTTTTCCCTCTGCAGTAGTCTCAGGGGAGGTAGGCCTCTGCCCAGCCTCCCTTGCAGGTAAGGTAGTCGTGCAATACACTTCTGGCTATGAGCTGCTAAGAGGCTGCTGCTAGGGGCACAACTGGGCAACCTCCCCAATAAAAAGCCTTGCAATGAGGAATTTCTCCCTTCCCACTTTTTTTCTTTGCTTTTTCTGTTTCCTTCCTGCAGAAGTCCCTGGAGAAAAGATGTGATGTTTAAAGCTATGGCAGCCATCTTGTAACCATGGGGCCACAAACAAGAAAAGCAAAAACCAAAGAGTGAAGCATGGCAGAGCAGAAAGATGGAAAGAGCCTGGATACTTAAGAGGGTCACTTGGCAGCTGTACCCACCCTAGACTGCATACCCCTGGACTTTAAGTAAATGACAAATATCCTTTGTTCTATTTCAAGCCAGTGCTTCCCCATCTTGTTTGGTGTCATGACACTCATAGTGCCTGATAATATTGGTACTGCCCTCTGGGGAGTACAGAGGAGACTGCTGGCGCCTGAGGTGAACTATGCTGGGGGCTTCAGTTGCCCTAGGACTCCTCCCCACCTTGAAGCCTGAGGGGATACACATCTCTGCACATCTCTTTGTGGCTCATCAATAGGCCTCACTGTACAGGTTGAAAAGTTCTAGTTTAAGCCATGCTTACCTGTTATTTGACTGAATGCACTACTAAGTAAAACTTGGACTCACTTCTGGTTGTCAATGGAAAGTGATGAGATTAATAAGATATCATACATTCTCTAGCAACATATAAATATGCAAAAAATACTTAGCCCAAATCACACCGTATGATTCTACTGACAGAGCTATTCACTATTGAACTTGTGTTCTTTCTTGTCAGTAATGGGGCCACTTCCTGATTAACTACAGGCACATTTCATGAGATCCAAATATACAAATTTTTTAATTTTTTTTATTTTTTTGAGACAGAGTCTCACTCAGTCACCCAGGCTGGAGTGCAGTGGTGCGATCTTGTCTCATGCAATCTCTGCCTCCTGGGTTCAAGTGATTCTCCTGCTCAGCCTCCTAAGTAGCCAGGATTACAGGCATGTACCACCATGCCTAGCTAACATTTGTATTTTTCTGGAGATGGGGTTTTGCCATGTTGACCAGACTGGTCTTGAACTTCTGACCTCAAGTGATCTGCCTGCCTTGGCCTCCCAAAGTGCTGGGATTACAGGCATGAGCCACCTCAGCTGGCCTATAGGAATGTTTCAAATGATGCATTTGAGAGTATATTCACAATGGTTGAAGAATTATAGATTTTAGGGAAAAAAGTTTCATTTTATCTAGAAGTCTGTCATAAGGGTCAAGTTATTATGTTTTTCATATGGTCTTAGGTTTGGGTACACGATGCCCTTGGCAATAACTGATTTTTCTATGAGCCTGACATTTATGTTTCTAAGCAAGTCCCTTTTATCAGCTTCACCAGTGTTTACCTTACAGGGTTGATGGGTGCATTAAATAAAATAATATCTGTAAAGTTCTTGGCAGACGACACTGCATACAGTACACATCAAAGACATAGTTCTTAGGATTATCATAAACAAAAATGTAAAAAGAATGTGCATGAATTAATGGTAGTCATAACTGATTGGATAAAAAATATCTTCCATATGAATACAGTAACATACTGTATAAACATCACTATAAAAGTGCTATAAAAATATGAAGCTCTCACCACACCCCAGAACTCATGTAATTATTTCAACCCGAGGCCAGCTCTCAGGTGACCCACCTTCCTGTTTTGGCAAAGAGGTGCCATGCTCCGGTTACATCTGAGAGTTCTGTATTCTTCAGCAAAAATATCCAGTTCCCCATTTTTCCAGAGATCACACTGAGAAGGCTTTATGTGGGAGCCCTTTGTTTATTAAGAACTGTTTCTATGTCATGGAAGGCCAGGAAATGAATTTTAAATCTGTGTTATCCACAGAATGACACATGGGACAAATGACAAGAGCAAACTGGGGAGCTCTGCTCTCTCTCACAGTGCCTGGGCTGATGAGTTCAATGCATTTGCTTGCACTTGAAACGTCTGATGTATTAATTATTGTTACAAACATAGATAAAAGTGATCAATGCACATGTTCTTGGAATTAAACTCTTTATGAAGCAACATTGTCACTTTGGTATCCCTTCTTGGCTCAACCAACCATGAGCACCTCAAATATCGCATTTGGATAATTATGAAACATTTTCTGAGCACTTATGCCAAGGACAATGAGCAATACTATCAAGGATGTGCAGTTTTTGCCCTGTAGCACTCTTCCTTTACTGTAGGCCTCACACACAGCTCCAGGCAAGCCATTTTTCCTAACCTGTCTGCCTAACTCACTTTGTATAGATTTTCATTGAATACCATTTGCTTTCTATTGTGTCTCTTTATACAACTATTACAGTCTCTCAAGGGCCAAAATTTTTCATTTTTTCCATCCTTTCTAGCATCTTGTTTGGACTTGTTTGTGAGCACACAGGAGACACCTCTGGAGACCTACAGATATACTTGGACAGCACTTGACCGTGAGCTTGCCCCCTCCCCGACAGATGGGGCAAGAGCCAGTGAAATTTGGGTATTTGACCGTAACCTTGTTTGTTTCCACATGTAGGGGAGATCTGGTGCAACTCCAATTACCTGGGGCAGTATAACAATATAGCCACTGCTGTCGTATCAACATTTTTCACCAGTCCTTTCTTACACAGGGCTTGTCTGTGGGGTATGTTGGCATTGAGAAGTCCTCATTTCCTGGTTTACTGTCTTGTGATGAGATACTAATCAAAGCTAAGATACAAAGAACTCTCTGAACTCATCCACACCCTTTTCAACTCATCCACACCCAATCAGAAACATACTGATTATGGATTAACTCATTATTAATGATTTTGTCTATTGTGAAAGAGACTGCCTTGAACAAGGAGTCAGGAATTGTAAGTCTTAGCTCCACTTTTGCTATTAAATTATGCTGCAAACCTTAGAATCTTCACTCAGCAGTTGTCTGGGCCTCTCTTGATCTGTAGACAAAGAAGCAGAGGCAGATGGAACACATCCCATCTAATTTTACTGATACACTCAACTCTCTACAACTATAATAAAGGATTTAAAAAGGACATAAACCTATAAAGAGGGCAGAAGATTGGAAGAGGCTAAGAGAAACAAAATTTAGGAGTCTGAAAGGCATATGGACAGGTGGTAATCAATTTAGCAAATTCAAGAGAGGAGATTCCTGAGCTACCACTGGGAAATGCAAAGGAATACAGAGCCAGGCAAAAACCCTTCCCCATCCCAACAGAAAACGGGAGGATCTGATCTCCCTGCGAAAGATATAGAACATGATATGTGGACCCAGGGCCACCAGAAGCAATTGAGGGAGAAGAGAGAGAGGAGGTGAACATGTGTATACTGGATGTTAAGACACCCATTCCTGCCAGACGTCCCAGAAAGCTGACAGCAAGGTCTTTCTCTTCCAAGCAAGAAACTGGAAGCATCTCCTATAGGGAGTCTGAGCAGCTCAATAGTTTGCTGGTCAACAAGCTCTGCTCGAGTGTTTAAGTTTCCAGTCAGGGTTTCTTTTCTTTCTTTTCTTTAAAGATAGAGCCTTGCTCTGTTGCCCATACTGGAGTACACTGGTATAATAACAGCTCACCACAGCCTCAACCACCCAGGCTGAAGCCATCCTCCCATCGCAGCCTCTGAGTGGCTGGGACTACTGGTGTGTCACCATGCTTGGCTAATTTTTAATTTTTTGTAGGGATGAGTTCTTACTATATTGCCCAGGCTGCTCTCGAACTCCTGGGCTCAAGCGATCCTCCCACCTTGGCTTCTCAATGTACAGGGATTATAGGTGTGAACCACCACAGCTGGCTTCTAATCAGCTTTTTAGTCTCCCATTCAAACCTTAGTTGAGCAAACAAATGAAAATTTCCAAAAAATCTGAAGAAAACCTCCAGTATAGAACATGAAGACTAAAACAAAGAGAAAAAGGCAGCCTAGATGAAAACCGAGACTAAAAAGGGAGAAAAGACAAAAATCAGAGCAATACAAAAAACATAATCCTAATATCTTCAGGAAAAAAGAGTAATTAAAATGCAAAACGAAAGATTGCTAAAAAAAATAAAATCTCAGTGAACGAAAAAGAATTCTTATAAAATATGGTAACGGAAATTAAAAACTCAGTGGAAGGATTAGGAGATGAAGTTGAGGAAATTCTCAGAAACTAGAACAGAAACAGAAATAGATGGGGCTGAAGAGAGAAATGTCGAGAAAATTAGAGGACAAATCCAGGAGATTCTGTTAGCATAAAAGGAATTACAAAAAGGAAAAAGAAAATAGAGAGGAGGAAATAAGAAAATAGTTAAGAAAATTTCTCCAAACTCAAAACATGAGTTTGCAGGTTGAAAAGGCCCCCTGAGTGCTTAGCATGCTGTCTGAAAACAGACTTTTACCAAAGCCTAGCATTATGAAATACTGAGACACTGGGAGAAAACTTAAGAGTTTACATGGTTCTGCAAAAATAATAAGGAAGGAAAGGAAAGCAAAGGAAAGGAAACATGCAGCAGATCAGGAATCAGAACAGTACTGGATTTTTCAGTGGTAACTGGAAATTAGAAGACAGTGGAGCCAAGCCTTCACCAGGTTTAAAAAAAAAAAAAGGTTTGCAATCTAGAATTCTATAACAGCTAATCTATCAATCAAGTGTTAGGGTTAGAATCAAGACTTAGACATGCAAGATCTCAAATATTGCCTGCAACGAATATTTTTCATACTGGAGGATGCTGGAGACTCTTCTGGAAAATGTGTTCCACCAAAATGAGGGAGTAAAACCAAGAAAGAGGAAGAAGCAAAGAGGAAGATGTAGGAGACGACAAACAAGGGAACCGATACAGACAAGAGGTGGCTAGGATCCCCCAGGATGATGAAGCAGGTAACATTTGTACATCAGGCTCTAGAGGGCAACCAGTCCAGTCCAGGCTGGTCAGAAGTGTCTGGTGAAAACTGCGAGACAATAAAATGAACAGAACCTCACGCACCTAAATGGTGTGAGAAGCAATGAAGACACTGGTGGAAAGCTTAGGATTCCATTAAGGAAAAATACACAGAAAACTAAGCAAACTGAAGAACAAGACAGTTATTTACTACCAGAAAAACAAGAAGTCACACAGGAAAGGAAACTCAAACACTATTCACATGGCCTTAATAAAATGCTCAACATTGATCAGACTACAGTCAAGATGTAACTATACTGGGAAACTGGAAGAATATAGGAGGAGGGGGTGGGAAGAGTGCACATGCGCAGTGCGTGTGGGTGGAGAAAAGACAGCTAAATCGTCTTTTACAGTGGGCAGTTATCAGCTAATGCTTATACCCAATAGATCAAGAAATAGCAATATAAGCATGTT